GCCGGTCTGGCTGTGCCTCTGCCTGCCTGTGCCTGCGAGTCTTCTGCTTGTGAGTAAACTTAGGAATGTGTCAAACTTAGAAGTTACTTATTGGTAAGCATGGAGTACCACAGAAACTGCTTTTCCCCCGAAAACATGCGGGGGGCGGGAGCGGGGGGGATGCGTTGCATGCTTTGACTGTCAGAAGCTTTCCACAAGAAAATGACTGTGCTTTTCGGAGGAAAAGAACCCCAGCCTAAATCCTTTAGGAATGTGCAGTTTGAGTCAGAAGCTTTTCCTTGGAGCCCTGAGGACGAAAGCAAGCACTCCAAGTGCGGGGTCCGCAACCCCAGACCTGCTGCTCTGATCGCAGGGATGCTGTGAAGGTCTGGACGATGCTTATAGTGGGATATTTTGCGTGTCTTTGCCCACGCGTGTGCCCTGAGGTATGATCTACTCTCAGACGAGAGTCAACTTTTTTCTGCTGCTTCTGGAGTTCAAGCAAAACTATTGTTAGCCTCAAGAATAGCAGGATTTGGCTTGTTCGCGTTTGGCAAAGTTCAGCCCCTGCATGCAGTACTGGGCAGTGCGGTGATGTCAGCTTCTCAGAATATTTAAATGTCGTGTTTAGTGCTGCGTATCTGTGCTGCTGTTTCAAATCAGTTCTTCTTAATATGCTTTTATTTCTTGTTCTTTCTCTGTCCTGATGCCTTCAAAATCCTTGTTTGGAGATCTGCAGATGGGCATTGCATAGTTCCCAGGGAAATCACCAGCTGCTCGTTTGCACGTCTCTGGTTGCTCAGGAAGGCTGCCTGCACAGTAGCTTTTGCTTACTGGGAAAGCACAGATAGACCATTAGGCAAAGTATTGCATAATATCAAGCATTAAGATGCAATCTTGTAGACTTCTGGTAAACTGACTTTCTGCATGTTAGAGATGGATATCAGACCCATATTATTTATTTTTTCCTTCTGACCTTGTGAACTGTGTGAAGTGCAGCGAGTTTGCATAGAAATCAGTATCCTTGAGCTCTCTAAGAATGACATTTTCATATAGTGACCAAGCTGGATCTCTCACTAACTTAACAACAATTTTTTTTCGTTAACTCTGTGCTCACCAAGCCAAACCTAATCTAAATTCTTTTGATAACACCCAAACTAATGCATGCAGGAATTTCTTTGTACACAGCTGGTCATGTTGTATGTACAGTGGTCAGGGTGCAGCACTGATAGTGCACAACTCCTTCTGCAGCCAGAACCTCCTCTGATTTTATTCTGTGTGTACCTGGAGCTCTGACTGATGTGCAAAGGCCCAAAGACTTTACATAATGCCATAGTTCAGGCTCTGAGAGAATTAGAGAACCTATTAGAGAGCCTTTATCCTCAGATCATTGCACAATTAGAGGAGGAAGTTTAGTACTGAGTATTTTTAATGCTCCCATGTCTGGGACTGTATATATATATATTTTTCTGTATGGCAAAAAAATGATTCTATAACTATTTTGACAATTTGTTGTAATCCAGATTAGCTATCTTTTCTAAAGCATTCAATGTGCAACAGTAAAATTGCCATTTAACAAAATTCCTGTATTTGATTACTTTTTTTCTTCCTCCATAAAATCACTGCCTTTGTATTCTTATTCATCATTGGTTTTGTCAGGGTTTCTTGTTTATTTGTTTTTGTTTTGTGCCTTCTTTTTTTTTTTTTTCTTAACAGATAGATGTTCTGATTAGCTGATTTGCTGACTGCCTACTGTTCAGTACTTGACATAGGAACCTCCTGTTTATTGTTCTGTGATCAGTTACTGTACTCGTATTCCATGTCTAGTTTTTGGTTTAGGCTGTAGAAAGAGGTGGGAAAAGTTAGCTTGCCTTTTTTTTTTTCTTCTTTTCTTTTTTTTTTTTTTTTTTTTTTTTTTTTTTTTCTTTTTTTTGTTTTTCTCCCCTTACATATGCCTAAGGAAGCCAGTGCTGTGGTAGGGCAGTTTTGTTTCTTGAATGAATAAATTAATTTCTCCTCATTGGAGGTTAATCCTTGGCAGCTCTTTAGTGTGAAGCCTTGTGTAATAGGGGCTGTCTGGACAGTCGTTTTGTTGGGGCAAAGATGACGTCTAGGCTGCTGTTGGTAACAGTTTTGTAAGGTTGCCCTTAATTGAACAGCTCTCTTGTGTTTGACATTTGCTGTGACCTCCTGCTGTAAGCAAAAGGAGACAGTTAATGATTTTGAAGCTTGTCTTTCACTCAGAGTTGAAAATGAGGATGTTTATTTCTAGTTCCTGTCCTAACTCTCAACCATGGTTGATTTTTCACTTTTTTGTTGGTTTTGTTTTTTTGTGTTCTACTGCATCCCTATTGCACTTGAAGTTTTTACAAACATGCAGAAAAAATTATGCATGTACTGAGAACCTAGGTGTCTAAAGTTTGCTTTAAAGATACATAAAGTCTTGAGATAAACCTAGCCCGTTGTTGCAATAGCTATGTTGGTTAGTCAGAGTTTACAGACTCTTGGAAGTTAAGTTAGAAGGAGTGAA